CTGCCCCCAATCAGGGTGAGGGGGCACTGGGGGGCGGGGCCGACAGGGGCAAGGGGCCACAGGTGGTTTGCCAACCAGCCCCTCCTCGGATCCAGGTGCGGGGGGGCCTGCTGAGGGGCAGGGCTGGCCAGGCGAGGGGCTGTGGTTGTTCCGGTTGTTCCACCATTCAGGCGCTGGGCTTTAATTATATAGGATAAGAGTAAGAACACTTATCAGATAGTCTTTCACATTTATATTATGCAGTGGAGTAAGAATGGGCCTTGTGATAGAAAAATGTTCACTTTACAGGTTTTTTCCCCCAGATAAATTGTGTAATTTGAACATTTTTTCTATCTGAAAAGTGGAAGAGCTACATTTCATACTGAAGAGTTAAACTGACATTGTTGGTAAACAATTCTAGTTTTGGTTGAAAGTGATTGGCTAAACATTTTATAGTTGTTTACAGTCCCACGGTATTACTTACAAGTCCATTATATATTTAGAACTTGAAGTCTATCTTCCCAGCTAGATTAATATACCCAGCTATATCCTTTAATTTTTTTTTTACGCAGTCATTACCTATAGGACTTCAAGAAAGCCAAAATCATTACAACTTTATTTTAGACTATGGGGAACCATAAATTTTCATTGTTTTCTTATTTCTAAATATTGATTTCTATCATCACCTGCCTGTCCAGTATTTTGTATTGTTCTAAGCCATTTTCTCTACCACTCGCCAATTCTCTCTTTTCTTGTGGAAAAATATTTTTCAGGAAGTTTTCTTTGTTTTACTCTTTAATATGACTTCTAGAGTAAGGCGATTTCATCAGCTTTTTAAATGATAACATGCTGGCTAGTTACTTGAATAGTTGTAATTTTACTCTACTAATAACTTAAAAATGCAAATAATGGGTGCTTTGCCTCATGTCTTTTAAAATTGTATTTTCTCAAATTTTTTTATAGTCCAACGGTAGTCACGCCCTGGGTATAGATTTGATGTCACCGTCTTTTCTGGTAAGGGCTGTTATCTTGTATTATATACCATTCACGAGTTCTTTGAATATACTGTTATGTAAATTATGACATATATTGATTGATTGAAAAGAAAAACAAAATTAATGAAGAACTAAAATAAATATAAATCAAGTTTATGTATGAAGGTGAAATCTTTCCATTTCTTTCCCAAAAAGGCAAGAAAGGGAGTTCTGAAAACAAAATCCAATTTTAAAAGTATTTGTTAAGTAGCTGTTTGTTCATTTATTCTTCAACTTATAGTTAATTGCATGTCTACTGTGCATCAGGCAGTGTATTAGACAGCATCAGTGTTCCCTGGGAACTTGTTAGAAATGTGAAATCTTGTTCTCCACCCTAGACCTGGGATGAGGCCCAGTAGTCTGTGTTTTAATCATCTTTCTAGGTGATTGTGATGCACTTTTCATTTTGAAAACCACTGGGACGGCTATTCTGATTATTGATTCATCTAGTAAATATTAAATGAGTGCCAAATTTCATGCCATGCACTGGAAATATAGTAGTAAAATTTTCTTGGTTTAAATCAGTGATTCATACTGGCCTATAATTTCAGAAGCAAGCAAACAAAAAAATGGAAAAAACTATTGGAAACAATTTTGATATTTCTATTGACCTTAACCAAATACCCTATAATGAATTAGTACAGTAAGATTTGGCCAACTCTGTCATATGCACATTAATAAAGGAGGACAGAGACATAGAGGGCGAAGTTACTCTAAAAACTCAAAACTGCTGCTATTTGGTTTTAGGAAATAGTCTGAATACCCTTTGTGGGTTGACCCCACTATCAGCAGCCTAGGATCCTGATGGTAGAGACAAAGACAATGACGATAAATCAAATGGCAGATCATCTACTTAGTACATTAGTGTGATAGTCATTGGCCAATACAAATGTCTGGAGGCACTTTTCTGTTTTACTTAGCAGTGGTTGGTGATATAAGCATTTGGCCCAAATTAAAATGTGAGTTTTTTTCTCAGAAAATATTTCTATTATTTTTTCTATTTTATGTTTATTTCTGAATCTAAACTGTTAAAGAACCACTTTCCCCAATATGTTTACTTCTTTACTTATAGTTTTTCGAAGTTCATTATGTTGCAGCATGGGTCAGTACTTCATCATTTGATGGACAACTGGATTGTTTCTGGTTTTGGCTATTAGGAGTAATGCTACTATGAACCTTATGTACAAGTTTTTGTGTAGGCATATGTATTCATTTATCTTGCATATATACCTAGGAGCAGAAGTGCTAGGTTATTTGGTAAGTAACTTGGTTAGCATTCTGAGGAATTGGTGGACTGTTTTGCAAAGTAGCTGTACCATTTTACATTTCCACCAGCAATGTTTGAGGGTTCCAATTTCTTCATATCCTCACCAACCCTTGTTATTTTTTGTCTTTTTTATTCTAGCCATTTTAGGGGGTGTCAAGTAGTATCTCATTGCGGTTTTGATTTGCATTTCCCAGATGGTTTATGATATTGATCATCTATTCATGTGCCTATTGGCTATTTATCTTCTTTGGAGACATTTCTACTCAGATTATTTTCCAATTTGTTAATTGGGCTATTTGACTTTTTATTGTTGAGTTATAAAGGTTCTTTATATATTCTGGATATAAATCCCTATCAGATATGTGATTGGAAAATATTTTCTTCTCTTCTATGGGTTGTCTTTTCACTTTAATTTCTTTTTCCCCCTCTAGAGAATATCAACCACTGAGTTACTTTCTTGATAGTGTCATTTGAAGAACAGAAGTTTTTAATTTTGATGAAGTCCAATTTACTTACTTTTTCTTTTAGTGTCATATCTAAGAAGGCTTTGCCAAACCCAAGGTCACAAAGATTTATTCCTACTTTTTGTTTTAAGAGTGTTATAGTTTTAGCTCTTAAAATTATGTCTATAATTATGTTGGGGATCTCCAAGACCATCCCCAGATTTTATGATTCACTAAGAGGACTTACAGGACTAGCATATGGTCATAATCACAACTAAGATTTATTACAGCAAAAGTATACAAAGCAAAATCAGCAAAGGGAAAAGGTGAATTGGACAAAATCCAAGGGAAAAAGGCACCAGTTTCCAGAGTACTCTCCCAGTAGAGTCACACAGGATGTGCTTAATTACCCCAGCAAATGAGTTGTGACAACATGTGTGAAATATTGCCAACCAGGGAAGCTCATTAAAGACTCAGAACCCAGGATTTTCCTGGCGGCTGCTCACATAAACAGCTTCTGTCTGGCCCATACCAAAACTCCAGACTCCCAGAGGAAAACCAAGTGTTCAACAGAAAACATAGTGTTTGAACAAACAGTTTAGGTACAGTAAGCCACTGTTACTAATTCTGGGAGTGTTGGGATCCCTCCCCAAATCCAGGTTTCTAAACTCCAGCCAGGGGTCAATCTTATAAGCAGGACTTTCCCAGAATAGCACTTCTGGCTTGCTATGGTAATTCTTTTCTGCACAATAACCCATTTAGGCTTAAATTATTTTGTATGATGTGAGGTAGGGGTTCAACTTAATTCTTTTGCATGTAAATATTGTTTTTCCAGTACCATTTCTTTTTTTTTTCTTTCTTTATTGATTAAGGTATTACATATGTGTCCTTATCCCCCCATTGTCCCCCCCCCCCCCCCCCCCCCCCCCCCCCCGTGCCCACCCCAGCTCACGCCCTCACCCCCCTGGTGTCTGTGTCCATTGGTTAGGCTTATATGCATGCATACAAGTCCTTTGGTTGATCTCTCACTCTTACCCCCACCCTCCCCTACCTTCCCTCTGAGGTTTGAGCATCTGATTGCTGCTTCTCTGTCTCTGGATCTGTTTTTGTTCATCAGTTTATGTTGTTCATTATATTCCACAAATGAGTGATATCATGTGATATTTATCTTTCTCTGACTGACATATTTCGCTTAGCATAATGTTCTCCAGGACCATTCATGCTGTTGCAAATGGTAGGAGTTCCTTTTTACAGCAGCGTAGTATTCCATTGTCCAGCACCATTTCCTGAAAAAAGCTATCTTTACCTCCATTTAATTTTCTTGGCACCCTTGTTGAAAAATAATTGAAAAAAATATAATGGTTTATTTCTGAATTCCCAGTTCTGTTTCATTGATCTACATGCCTAGACCATGCCTGCATGACAATATCTTGATTATTGTAGCTTTGTAGTAAGTTTTTAAATTAGAAGTTATAAATCCTCCAACTTTGGTCTTCTTTTTAAAGATTGTATTAACTATCATGGATCCCTTCAATTTTTTTTGTTTCTGTGTTTTAAACTTTACTTTTATTGTTGATACTATTCCAGATGTGTCCCCCCCCCCATAAGCTTATTAGTTTCTGCAAATAATCTAGTTAGGATTTTGATAAAAATTGTGTTCAATCTGTAAATAAATTTTGAGAGTATTGCTGTCTTAACACTGTTAACTGATCCATGGACATGCGATGTTTTTTCCATTTATTTAGGTCTTTAATTTCTTTCAACACGTTTTGTTTTCAGAGTATATGTTCTACACATGTTTTGTTAAATTTATTCCTAAATATTTTCTTCTTTTTGATGCTATTTTAAATATAAATGTTTTTTATTTCATTTCCAGATTGATGATTGTTAGTTTAGAAATATGATCGATTTTAA